AATATACAATACTAAGAAATGGCAGCTGAAAGCAATATTCTTGCCCGGTAGTAAAAAACATATAAATCAAGTCTCAAACTTTATACAAAATTTAGGAGAATTCAACAAACTTTCAACTTTTTAATCTGAACCTTTACAGCATTTTTGGTTATGCAGTTTTCTAGCCCATACAATTTTAGTCCAATAAAGTGCAAGTCTCAACCATCTAAAAAAAAACGAGTTGATTTTTGATATTTGTTTTTTTGGAGACTACTTTTGCGGTTTTTTATATAACAAGTGTAATTTACAAGAAATGGCGTTGATTTTTTGAAATTTTGTTGCTAACGGTCTCCCGCATTTTGTTTCATAAGAAATTCATGCTTATATGGAAAAAGTGCAAAAATCCGTCATCAAAAAAAAAATTCTCAGAAGTTAACGGGATTTTTTAGCCCTTTGAAGCTTGCATTAGACGAAAATTGCATACCCAAAAAGATTCGGATTAAAAGATGAAAATTTGTGGAGTTTTCCTAAATTTTGTTTAAAGTTTGTAACAGTAATTGATGTGGTTTTTGTCATAGCTTGAACGGTATTTTTATAGAAAAATAACGAAAAACAAGTAAGAAAGTCTAAGTTCGGGCGGAGCCGAACATTAAATACCCGGCGCAAGTATTAAATATATGTTTTTTCACCTTTCCGAAACCTTCCGCTAGATGGTAAGCCGGGGTGTATCAATTTTGAGTAAATTAGCGTCCTTCAATTTCGAAATATTGAAGTTTCAAGCATTTCTGAAATTTACCGTTATATGAGAAGCGGCCGTTATTTTAGTCCGATTTCAATAATTTTCAACGTTTTGCTTATATGTGGCAAGCACAATAACCGCACCGAGTTTGGTACAAATTGGTAGAACGGTTACCGATATACATATATGTGATCATAAGTGGGCGGTGCCACGCGCATTTTCCAAAATTTTACCATAAACGTATTTCTTGGTAAAGAATTGTTGCAAGCATCAATTTTGAATAAATTAGCCTCAATATTTACTGATTTATCGAAGATTTTGTATTTCTCTAAATTACCGTTATATGGGATGTGGGCGTGGTTATTGTCCGATTTTAAAAAGTTTCGGCGAATTTTTATGCTGTACCAAGGCCAA